GATGGGATGGGATGGGATGGCATGGCATGGCATGGCATGGCATGGCATGGCATGGCATGGCATGGCACTGAATGTGATGAGATAGGATGGGATGGGATATGGGATGGGATGCGGTGCGATGGGATGGGATGGCATGGATGGATGGATGCATGCATGGATAGATAGATAGTTAGATTTTTGGGGGTATTTTCTTTTCAAGCAAGCGATCACCAGCTGAGTAACGCCACTGATTTCCCCGGGCAACGCCGGGTATCCCGCTAGTCTCCATACTAATTCTAGATTCTTCTATAGTCGGGCATAGTGCGCAACCGAAACAAGCTTACGCCCGTGCAGTGAAATGCGCCCTTACACAAGTGATACTGATTCACTCTTAACTAACTACCTTAACTAATTTACACATAGGCCTATTGGAGCGATATAGGAAGACATTTCATCAATTTATTTTACAGTACCTTTATCATGATGCATGTATCCAAATGCATGCATGGCCACCAAACATGGACTAATGTAAAAGGTAGCGCGTGGGAAAAGTGTGTGCTATTAACTGCAACATCAACAACAATCTTAAATTTGGTCCAAGTTGTGTGGGGTGTGCGTGTACGATAAGGCTACAACTAGGTCCAGCCCTACCAGATTCTGGTTGCTCCATGAAACGGGCTACCTACACCCTGGATTAAGTACTAAAGTTGTACAGTACACGTTATCAAGTGGAACGGTATACCTTTGACGTAAAACAAGCTATTAATTGTTTTACTGTGAAAAAGGGTTGTTGTTTCCGCTCCGGCATCGTAGCATCGTAGCGTGATACGTAATACGTAGATGATTGCAACAAGTAGTAGAGATGATCCATCGTAGCAGATTGTTATTGAAGACTGATTTTATTACTTGACACATATACAAATATATACAATACCACAGCCTAGGCAACCATGCCTATAGGCTCCGGCGCCTCGTCTCGATCTTTCTCCGACTCACTACATAGTCTCTCTCTAAATCTTATATGTTCCCTGCTTGTCAATTGCTGTTTATATATAGCAGCTCGAAACCGGATCTAGCAGAACTACTTTGGCAAAACCAGACCTTGGCGACAAGCAGCAAGCGATGCCCGCTCGTAAGTGCATGCGTCGCGTCACCTGTCCTCAGTATCTGCTGATTTCGATACGCGTCGCGTCACCTGGCCGTCCAGCTTGTCACCGCTGTTGTCCCAAACGCTATAAGCGTCGCATCAAGACGTGGTCACCGTTTGTCACCGCTTGTCAATTCAATACGGGCATAACGTGCGACATTCCAAGCATCGCATCCTGTCGCCACCGTTTGCTGAATACAATGATACCATTGTCCCTGACCTCTCTTGAAAAGTTTATGTCCTCATGAAAAAGTATTTCCAATTAAAAACGATATATAATAACTATATTCCAAAATACCGCTACCTAAATAAAATAAACTGGCTACATGAATTTTTTATACAGTGGATACAAAACAAAACAGTCAGCTCCACTGCAATCATATGCTGATATGATGTGCTGAACGTGCGTATACCGTGCTCGCATGTGAGACGGTTTTCAAGATACCGGTCGCGTTTACGCGTGATGGCAATGGTAAATCCTTGGGGTAGAGAAGGGATGGAAAGTCCGGGTTTGAAACGAGTTGAGGGGGATATTGTTGCAGCTGTCTAATAAAAATAACGTCTAATTTTCGTATCACCGGAGGGGGTCGACAGTCTGCAACGGTAACTCAACTCGAATCGGCATGGAAAGGCTAGGGAAGAATGGCGCAACAAGGATACCTCTTACTGCGTACAACACGTTAGTAAACCTGTTAATAAAAAATTTAAAAAACACAAACAAACAAACGATGAAACATAAAAATACAGATATCACCGGCTAAGCCATATCGTAAACACAGATCCATAGCCAATTCTTTGTTTATAAAAATTTAAATTCGTGGTTTCGCTATGTTGTGGTATCGACTAAATGTCATCGGCTAGCAGCCGTGACTCAAAAATGACGCGACGCTTGACGAATCGGACGTACCGATTCCCCGTCGGAGCTGTTTTAGCTCGTTCGTCACCTTTAATTAAAAATTATGCACTATGGTGAGTTTGTACCGTAGTATGCCTCTGTTGGCAGAGACGCTAATTTCAGCTTACCCTATTGGCCACGTTCGAGGTCATACATTAGAAGCGGCTAGGCGTCTCGCCTTTCTCATCGCATAAGCAATTACCATATATCATTGCTTTGAGCCACCGTCACGCCTAGCTCCAAGAAACGGTATTGCTAGGGTTAGAATACCGACGTATGTATTGACTGTATATTGACATCAGTCACACAGCCTGGTCGGGTTACGTCACGCCGTACAATGAAATTCTAATACCACGCTAGCTATAACTGCGAAAATTCGCTCGCTGCTCGGCAATTCGCGAGCTATTTTACTGTTAATAAATTATTTCCGAATTTGTGGCTATGTATACAGTGAAATTACGATGTAGCTTACCCTATCGTCGCCGTGTTAGTCTTTAGCTTCTTCTGCTCATCTGCTGCTCCTCTGTTAGTCTTCCTCTTTCGCTGGACGATTGGACCTTGTGCTCCAGTGTGGCACGACTGGCCTTTTTCACAGTACAACAATTGGTGGAGAATACGGGCATAAGGTGCAACATTCCAAGCATCGCATCCAGTTGCCACCGTTTGCTGAATACAATAATGATACCATCCCGCGCAGATTTTTGTTCAGGGTACTGGATATTAGGCTGGGAGCGCAGCACTTAGTAGCACTGCTGAAAACCATCTATCACCAAACGGCAGCCAAGGTGAAAGGATTCCGTCTATCTTTCCCAGTAGAAACTGGCTGCAGACAAGGTGGTATTGAATCACCGATGATATTCAACATCTACTTCGATACGGTTTGCCGAGTATTGTTGCACGAGGTGAAGTCTGAATTAGGAGACAAATTTGGCGTACATTTTGATTCGTATCGTATTCCAACAGAGGCGACTGACAGAGAACAACGGTCAACGCATCTATCGTCTGGAACAAAAACATGTTATAACATCCTCTATGCTGATGACATGGTCCTATTTTTTCGTACGAAAGAGGCTCTACAGCGAGGTTTGATTATTACGGAGAGACTCCTCCGTAAAACAGTGCGCAGAGGCTTCAAACGGCGCCAAGCTCCACCACCGAGAGGGAGCTTGGAGCTCTGATGCCGAGAGGGCGACAGGGGACTGGGACTATGCATTTATCTACCCCAATGCAGATATCTACCGACTAACGAGAGCCAAATCACTGAAAGTCTATCAAGAGCGGATTTACATCGAATGGTTTAATTGGTCACTGTGCACGAATGGAGAATTCTACCCTGCAGAAGCAGTCACTGTTCATGATAACAACAGCATGTTAAGGGAAGTGCCGACCGCCTGATAGATGGCTGAGAATTAAGCGAGTATTGGGAATAGACAAAGGACAACTCCTTAGAATGATGCGAGAACGTTTGAGATTCAAACGGTGGATTCGCGACCACTACGGGTGGTCGGATTTCCCGGACTCATAAGGTTAAGCCTCTAATGAGTAACGATGATGATGATGAAGTTCCCAGACATGCGCATCACTCGCTACGCTCTACTCAACCAATGTCTCAACGTTGTAAATAAGTGACTACAAATTATACAGTCTTAGATATAACTAGAGCACTCGGAGAGCGCAGACCTCCGCCAAGACAGCTCAATTCTCTCACTGTGAAAAATTTTATTAATTAATTAATTAATTAATTAAATAATTGATTGGATCCGGATGACCACCAAAATGTAATCAATTCTAAGTTAGCCCATTTCTAACCTATCCTGAAAATTTTATGACAATCCGTCCATAACTTTTTCAGTTAGGCTGTACACAAACCCACAAACCAACAAACACACGCCGATAAAAACATAACCTCCTGCCAACCCCTTGGCGGAGGTAATAATGAATGTACGTGCAGGTATAAAATATATCTGCACTGATATTTTCTAACCTGCAGTACATCTGCAGGTTATAAATAATTATGCGTGATATGGAGACGCGTGTATCCTCTTCGTTTCCGCCATCTACGTTTTCCTCTCCATCGTATACACCTTTTATCACTCCCCTATATCACCTGTGAGATTCTACTTAAAAATCGTCTCTTACTGCCTCAGATGAAAGGAACCCCTACATGGGTATCTCTGACTCATTCGCTGATCTAAAAGCACAAGGCTGGTTTCCTCTTACCAAGCTCTGTGTAAAGCGGATCGCTAATGGCAGGTGTTTGCAGAGCTGATATCTTGTTATGTGTAAACACTAGTGTTCGTCAAGACGATGCATCGTTAATGCTAGTTTGCAACAATTTATATGTAGTTCAGATGGTTATTGATAACGATTAGGTGTATGTGTAATGCACAATTTAGACTATTGGTTGACATTTTCTTCCGATATTATTCTACCTACCTACTTACCTGCTTGCCTGCCTGCCTGCATGCCTGCATGTCTGCCTGCCTGCCTGCCTGCCTGCCTGTCTGCCTGCCTGCCTGCCTGCCTGCCTGCCTGCCCGCCTGCCCGCCTGCCTGCCTGCCTACCTACCTATACCTACAAACATACCAACATACCTACATACTTACCAACCTATGCCTACTTACCTGTACCTATACATACCTACCTACCTACCTACCTACCTACCTACCTACCTACCTACCTACCTGCCTGCATGCCTGCATGCCTGCATGCCTGCCTGCCTGCCTGCCTGCCTGCCTTCCTGTGCGCTCGCCCTACTCTGAAACATAGAACATAAAAAAGATTTGTTGTTACATGCATTTTGCGCGTGAACTGCGTACGATCAACACCGTTGAAACGCATGCACTGCCATAAAGCGAGAGGTATGTCTGAGTAACGGGGAAAGTATTTTCAGCTTCAAATAACCTCTCCGCCAAGCAGCGAGCTTACCCCATACATTATGTTTTGTACTATATCACTCAGAAATTTTATAATTTTAACTACTCAACACTATTGCATTTATCAGCATATGTACTATTGCATTGTATTATGAAAAAAAACTGTCGTCAGTACATGTATTTGTATCTGAATTACATGCAATAAAGATTTAATAATAATAATAATAATAATAATAATAATAATGTTGGCCATCTTTAGTTTTACGACCGAATGTTCGGTTGTGGATCAACCAATTTGAGCTATTGGAAATCGAATTGCTAGTTCGCCTATAACCGTTTCACACTCGACATTATATCACAATACAAGAAATCTATCCAGCAACAAACCACAGTACACAGTAGGCCTACAGAGCAATTATGTATGCGACAGTTGGTGAAGGTATCGCGGCTGGTGGGGGGGGGGGCGGTGAACGTCACACAGTCTACAGGCAGATATATAGATGTTTATCGAACAATTTGTTTACACGCACTCACGCACACGCACTCACGCACGCACACTCAGACGCACACGCACACGCACACGCACACGCACACGCACACGCATACGCACACGTACACGCACACACCTACATCAATATAATAATTATTGTAGACGGCAGTAAATATATTTTGATCGCATGCAAGATATAACTGTGAATATATCAGCTGCTATATATATACATCTGTGTGTGTGTGTGTGTGTGTGTGTGTGTGTGTGTGTGCGGTGCTGCGTGCGTGCTGTGAGTGCGTGCGTGCGTGCGTGCGTGCGTGTGTGCGTGTGCGTGTGCGTGTGCGTGTGCGTGTGCGTGTACGTGTGCGTGTGCGTGCGGGGCGGGCGGGCGGGCGTCGTGCGTGCGTGTGTGTGTGTGTGCGTGTGTGTGTGTGTGTGCGTGCGTGCGTGCGTACGTGCGTGTGTGTATGCGTGTGTGAAACCCCACTCATTACATGGCTCGCACCATTGAACCATACATAGAACTAATACTAGTTAGACTGGTGTCTCTATATATTTCTTTGGCTCGTACCGATTGACACGTGGTGCCCTCTCTTGGATCGCAGAAATATTCGATTAA